AATGTATTTAGTAAACATATATTTTAACATTATATTTTGATGGCTGTAACAACCCCCAAAAAAGGAGAGAAGCAAGCTATAAAGGAAAACAATATCAAATAAAAGTAAAATATCCCAATTAAAGCAGTTCGAAACGTCCACAATAAGCAGATGAACTGATAATACACAGGTACTCCATGTGTTTGCATTTTACTAACTGTGTCAACTTTTAAATTTTTTTTTATACACATCCAGTAAATAGGTTTAAAACAAGATTTCTGGCCCTTTAGTTTAAGTATCAGTTACCTGCCTATTATTAAGACAATGGCTGTTGTATATATTCTGCATCTTGTTCTCCCTCATACAGTACCTACACCCAACCATAACCTTGATAACTATTAATAAGCAGCAAAAGAAGGTTTTTTTTTTAATTAAAGTAATAGTTGATGCTATATTAACAGCAAGAATTGTACCCTAAAATGAAGTGTGGCCAGATTTCGGCTTTATATTTTAGTAATGTTGTACTATACAGCACACATAAGTAAAAAGTAGTGCTTTCAAATTATTCATTCCATTTCAAAATAAAAGTTTATAGTTACAAAATATATTTGAGTGTACTGTGTATATTTTGTGTACGAGCAATTCAATGCAAATGTAAACTTTGCCATACTGAAACTACTAGTATTTTACAGTGCAGTACTAGAAAATACTCCAAAATGTTTCTGTTAATGTTTTCAAACAACTATATTTGATTTCTCAAAGTCACACAAGTGGCAATTTCACATCTGTCACATCCATAACAAAGCTTTTTCCTCATAAAAAATGTAAATCAAATCAAATCAATCATGTTTGTTCTATAATGAGCCGACTCTTATCCTTTTGATTATCATTGTTTCTTTTTGGTTGTGCAGTTTAACTCAAAGAATTTCTGCAAAGTATGTTGTATACTGTAAACTAGCAGACTCTTCGTCACATCCATAACGCATGATTATTTTCCTCATTTCAAATCTAGAAAAATGTTTACAGACTGATATTTTTCTGCTCCCATAAAAAATATAAACAGATGTTTCAATATAATGTTAACATATACTTTCTCTGTGTTTGAGTTTTTACTGCAAATGTCACATCCATAATGCTGGAATTGCTGACATACAAATTTATGCATGACTATGTTGTATAAATGATTTGTTTATATTTGTATACTTTTGTATTTTGCGTACAGCAAACATGTCTATTTATGCATTTACAGTGCTCAGCATAACAGAGTTGTCACGATCATCAGAGATCTAACCACCATAGATTGCTGGAAAACAGTCACTTTCACATGAACTACAAATCCGCCATGTTATGGACTACATATTCAGTCATGCAACACACACACCTGCTTCAAGTCACCATTGATTGCAAACACTCACACAGCTGTAGCTGCTCATAGACTGATTACTTGGACTATAAAGACAGCACAAACACACACAATGTTGCTGACTCTTGTAAGCTGGGAAGTAAACATTATGGCTCGGTTTCCCTTACTTTGATTTGTTTAATTATCCTCTAGACTCTAGATTGCCCATAAACATCTGCTTGCTCCTATTTTGACCACTGCTTGCTTGACCATCCTGTTCAATAAAGACCTGCATAAGGATCATCACTCCACTATTACATGAGTGCACCCCATTTTGTAAATGAATACTTTTATTCATTTGTCAGTGAATATAGGCAATGTATTTTGCCTTTAAATAAAACAGATTTATTAAACAGATTTATTTATTAAAATAATACTTTAGTCACCAAACATATTTAGAAATGGAAAGATAATACAATTAAACTCAAGCAAAATATTGCAAAAATAATTTACAACCTACAAAATTTCAACTAAATATTTTAATTTTTATTTATTTATTTTGCTTCCCCTGATTTTCCTCTTTTTAATTTAGTATTTAATATTTCTCTTTAACATAGAAATTTGGCTGTTATAGCAGGTTGTTTTGTTAGATTAGCTCCAGATTTGGCTTTAGTCTTGTATAAACTAATGTATACGCACAAATATGATATTGTATAGCTTTATATTCAAAAGATTAATTTAAAAGAGAGATTTGTGAGGGGTGTACTTAGATATGCTAAGCACTGTAAATAAACAGTGCATACAAAGAAACTTTTATCATGGATGTGATCAAACACAAGTGTTTGACAGCATTCAATCCTGAATGAAAATGCAATCCTAACATGACGCAGACCAGATTTAAACCTGCGTCTGCTTGAGCACATGCAACAGCCCCTGTGCCACAGCTCTGGTTCATAACAAGATTTCGATGTATATGAAAACAAAGGCAACTAGCCCAAGGCTTTGAAGACTCTAGTCCAAGATAAAGTTAGCAGTCGCTCGCATTTTCAATGATCAAAGCTCTCTTGCGTTCCATGTTTGAATGCACTGGTTCATGGAGCGTGTAGAGCTGTATCTGTTTACAGCTCCGGTCGGTTCTTCCCAGCTGAGGCTGGTTCTTGCTCTTGCTATCGCTCTTGGCCTGTGCCTTTGAAAGATGAAGCCTGCCAAGACGCTTTAACGAACCATAACAGGATTATGTAATCCACTGTCAGAGGAGAGCACTGGAACTATCTCCCATTCAGCTATAGCAACCCTATATGTATGCTCTTCCATGCTCGCAGAAACAAAGCTCTGAGGTAAACATCCTAAAGCACACACACATATAAAACATTTTTACATATAAAACAACATGCTTGATCAGCATATTTGTTGCTGCTGGAGCAACAACCAAAGTAGTTCCAGCCCTAATACACATCATTAACTAATGCTAATATACACTTTTATTTGCGCTGTGATTTTTACAAGGAAATACTAAATCTGAAAGCTCACATTTAATTCAAAGTTCCTTGTAATAATTTGTTAAATCCACTAGCAAATTCTGAATGAAGGCGGTTCGTTCCGCTGTGGCGACCCCGGATTAATAAAGGGACTAAGCCGGCAAGAAAATGAATGAATGATTGGATTCTGAATGAAATGTATGCAAATTTAGTTTTCACTGTAGTTTTTAGGAGTAACAATTTCAGTCTTTGAACGGAACACAATGTCAGTTCATTCTCTACAAGTAAATTTGATTGGACCAGACAAGTTGCATTTGCAATGCTGTAAATGTTTAATATAAACGTGTGTACCAATCAGTGGTAATTATTTAACATTAAAACAAGAGAAATGAACAGAGAAGGAAGAAAGCTTCCGAACACTGCAATGGGAAAGTAACACATCTTACTGTTTTTTCTTAGTATTTTTGTCATTTTCCAGATCATTCATCTACTTTCAGATAAAGCTAAACTATGTGATGTAAAAAGTTGTTTTTACTATGAGATTAATCAAAATGAAGTTAGTTAAATCGAAATGTTTTTTTCTCATTTATCTAAATTTTTTCTTGATTTAGGATGTTTAAATATCAGTAATAGTTTAGACTTTTCGGACTTCAACTGTAGAAAGGGAATTAAGGCCTTGCAGAAATACTGCCAAATTTATATATTCAATGCGTACTTGAACTTTGTTATTTTACCCTATGGGTCAAGTTGCCATAACCATGAATGAACTGTTTTTGCACTTTTATTTATTTCCTGGTGTAAAATTGAGATGCTGAGTTGATCTCTAGCATCCTTAAAAGCTGATTGGTTGATGAGGAGAGCAACAATGTTGATTTAGGTGCATGTGACCTAGAAGCACATCAGTAATGTGATGTTAAATCCCATAACTAACGTGCCAGCGTTTGTTGCTATCATTCTGTTAACAGTTCAGCTGGACACATTCATAAACGATCCGCTTATTTGCATAAAAAACCAAACACGAGGCTCCGCGCGTCAAACCGCCGCTCTTATTGACCGTATTAACGACGCTAAAGTAAAGTGCAAGACAACACACTAGTTGTGTTTTTTCTACACGAAAAGGTCGACTAGAATCAGTCAGTGGGCGTCACGCTGAACTAACTTACCGAATCTCCGGTCGGCGATGGAAACGGCGAGCGCGTGGACGGACAGAGAGGCGAGGAGCAGCGCGCGCACACGAGCCATCCTGCTCATCGAGCCCAGCTCAGCTCAGCTCCCGTTAATTCAGCATAGCGGCTCTCTCGGGTTTCGGGGGTGCTGTGATTAGAGCAGAAGTGGGTCAGAGGCAGTGAGATGACTGATGCTCCGGTACCCCGTGTCCTGTACTCAACTCTAAAGGGGCGCGAGGCGCGTTCAGCACCACGGTCAGCGCCCCGCCTCGGCTGATGACGTCACCAGCTACACGCGCTTCCGCGGCTAATTATTTGAAACACTTCTGCACGCTCGCTTTTATGTACTTTTAGGAGACGAGCAATGTGTATCTTATCGAACAGTGGGGGTTGATAAAATGTCTGAGCAGTTATTTTGCTCAAAGGTTTTGCCCCGTACCGAAATACGAGTATTTACTTGACAATCAGTGCACGAGCAACAAGCACGTCAAAGTTATACTGTAATCTAGAATATATGAAACAGCCTCTACACATACAATTTAAATCAGGCAAAATAAAAGTGTTAAGATACTATAAAGATCAGTTAATATCAAACACTATTTAATTTAAGGCACTATAGGATGATTTTTAAGTTCATTAATTTTTCTTCAGCTTAATTTCTTTATTACACTGGGTCGCCACAGCACAAAGAACCGCCAACTTATCCAGCATATGTTTTACGCAGCAGAACCCTTCCAGCTGCAACCCAGTAAAGGGAAACACCCATACACATACACTACAGTTTATTCAATTTATCTTTAGCGCATATCTTTGGACTGTGGAGTAAACCGGAGCACCCAGAGGAAACCCACGCAAACATGGGGTAAACATGCAAACATGCCGGGCTCGAACCAGCGACCTTCTTGCTATTAGGTGACAATGCTAACCACTGAACCACCATGCCACCCTTTTAACAGTTCAATTTTTAAAAATAATAATAGTTATCAATACACTTGTAGTAGATGATACAGACTCACACAGTTTCTTGTTTGATAATTTGTCTGAATTTAATACTTTTTCTTTATTTCACACAATGATTGATTGTGATGCTCTACAGTACATACTTAAATTGGGTAAATCCAGTACATTTAGGAACAACTTGTCTGTACATTACTATTGTTTAAAATGGAATAAAGAAGTATATTCTCTGGCAACACATCACAATTAATTATTGTTGTATCCAAGTGTAAAGTAGAAAAAATAAATTGGTAGGGATGTATTTCAAAGACACCTTAGTGAAAAAACAAAGCTTAAAAGATCATCTTAAGACGCACCAGATTCAGTGATGTGTCTCTAAAAAATGTACTTTTGTGAATGAAAATCGATGTACTTATCTGGAATGCTGGAACTTAACTTTTACATTTGAAACCACACAAATGAAAATGAATGATGTTTCAAGATCAAAGATGATGTTTTGCTTAAAGGTCATTCAAATGAGAGAGAAAGGGGAACATAAAAAATGCAAGAGTTTAATAAGCTGAGAAAACAAAGAAAGGATTTTGCAGGAGTACACACAAGTTACTGTCATCAGCTTGCCCGTTTAATTGTTTGTTTGTTGGCATGAAATCAGGACGTCATTCAGCATTTTGACAGTGGATTCGTAGATGGTCCTGAGAGAAGAAAACCAAAACAAAATGAAATGTTGTACATCTGCCACTGTGTGTAGACACAGATTACATGCGTTCACCATAAATGTAAATCTTTTACCTCTGTATATCATCAGAGTTTTCCGAAATACTGTTGTAGTAGTTCTGTATTTGTCTGCGTACAGACCCGGCAATGTCTTTCAACTCCACAATAAATGCATCAGCTATATTGAGCAGAGCAGAAAGGTAATCATTACTATTCAATACGCTACAGAAACAAACTCCTATACCCCTAGACACATTGATATATACACTATTAAATGTCCTATTAGGTAAATGTCCAAATATAAATTTTGACTTACCAGTGAGGTAGAATGTAAATGTCATTGTAAAATGGCTTTAACAGTAATTGTGAATTTGTAAATTTATATGCAACCGCAAAAATGATTGAAGTCATCTCCAAGTGCTGCAGGAGAAGTCGATATATTAATTTGTGACAGGCCTAATATGAACACACTGACAAACACATACACTAACACATTATTTCTAAATATTGGCAGTGAGTTTGGGTGTTTGGTTGTATGTATAATAACTGGATTATGCAAATATTGTCATATACCAATCAGCAAAAAAAAAAAAGACTATAAAAATCCAGTGTCACTTTATAGTTCAAATGTGTCTATCCATAACTCCACTGGACTTATTGTTTTTAATACATTTTCAAATAGAACAGTTTATATAAAATAACTTAGTACAACTAGTTTAAGTACTTGCTTATTACCTGCCTATTTTCCAGTAGTTATAATGTATGATTTGATTCTACATCTCTAATCCTACCAAAAACCTAATCCCAAATACTATCTTACTATCTATCTATCTATCAATAGCAGATAATTAGCAGTTTATTGAGCTAAAGTCTTAATTAATGGTTTGTTAATAGTATGAACTGTGACTGGAAATGTTTCCAATAATTCTAACATCAAGTAAAACCAACCTGAGTGGGAATACAAACAGAATCAAGCCAAAACCAAAACCACTCACATTCTTTGATGATGGTCAGAATGTGTGTAACTGCAGCCCACTGCGTGATACTATCAATGGCCTCCGACTCTATAGAGGAACTCAATTCAGACAGAAAAAACCTAGAACATAGCAGAAAATTAATCTGAAGCATTCATACAATTTCTACTTATGGCACTTTCATAATTTGTAGATGTCCTTACGTTAGAAACAGGGATTAAAATGGTTTAAGTCCTACAATTTCTTTGTAGATTGATTAAATTAAACTTTACTGCAATTACACATGTACACTTACAAGGCAACGAAATGCAGTTTCCTTCTAACCAGGAGTGTAATAGCATCAAGTGCAGGATATAAAGGTATGCATGTGGGTAGAGCATGTGGAAGAGCAGCTATGTATGTAGGTATAAGTTATAAAGTGCAATTATAGAAAAACAATGAGTTATATTTACAGATGGATGTACTATGAACATTACATACATAACTCCTATATACTTTTTATACATAACATTATATTATATTCATAACTCCTAAATTGATGAAGAATGTGTAGAATTTACTACATCAAGTAAACACACGCAAACTGTCCTCTCACTGGTCAGAGAGTGCATCTGTCTAAGTTCCAGGATTCTGCACATATCATTCATTTTGTAGGACAACAGCTTCACAGGCCTATTGCTGCTTTCTTTGTAACGGTCAGTGTAAACTTTATTATTTTAGTTAGTTTAGTTTGAGAAGAACAAAATAACCATTTATAAACTATAATTAGGCTCTTCACTTTGTCTAAGCTCCAGATTCACTCTTGCAGGCATTAGCAATACAAAGACTGCTGCTTTTATTGCAATTTTCATTAGAACAAATCATACACTAATGAACTGCCTGGCTCATTATTAGTCTGTAGTGTATGATATTATAGGGTTTCTCAACACATACAAACCGGATTAATGTTTATTTTTCTGGGATCTCGAACTGAGTGTTAAGAATTGCACTGTTCATATATGGCAAATAGATCAAAAATGCACCAAAAACTAATTTTCGAAATGGGTCAGGTATGAAATCAGGCAGTACTAGATGGTTTTGATTTTACCTGGTAACAGCAGGACATCCAAGCGTCACTTTAAGTATGGTGCTGGAAAGAGGTGGAAGGTCATTGACCGTCTCTGGCATCAACAGCTCCTCCACATGAGAAATCTGCGAGTACAAAGATCACATTGCTTCTTTCACTAGTCATTCATCTTTGCTTTCAGTCTATGCCTTTATCCTTCAGCTTATTTTTATAAGTGGCTTTAGACAGCTCTCCCACGCTGCCTACGGTGTCATTTCATCTCAAGAACACAACAGTTTGTATTTATATCAGTCATACTGTCAAACACTACATCCGAGTGAAATGAAAAAATGAGCTCAACAAATGTTTCAATTAAAAAGACAACAAAGAAAAGCCACGCAAGCATAACGCTCACAGCATGCACAGAATAATTAGAGGATTTACCTTCTGCAGGGGGCGGCTGATATCAATAATAACTGCAGCACAGAGTGATGAGAAAACTCCTGTCATGAACTCCGACCTCTCACTTGTGAACTTAGTCACCAGCAGGAAGTCATGAAGAGCTTCCTCAGAAGAGCAACACAGCTGAAGATGCAGAAAATAATGCATTTTATTTTGAAGAAGTTGTTAAGACTGGGCATCATTAAAAAGTTTTCAATACAATACATACACCAATATTTTGACTTTGATATCGTTTCCTGAACAATACTATGTCTTTAAATATTTTGGCAGTAGTAGAAAGTCCCTGCACTAATAACTAAAGCACCAGCCAGCAAGTAGTTCTCTGCAACTCTCACATGGTCACCCATTGAAGTTAAGCAGGGCTGTGCCCAGTCTGTATCTGGATGGGAGACCACATGTGAAAGCTAGGTTGCTGCCGAAAGTGGTGTTAGTGAGACCAGCAGGGGGCACTCAACCTGCGGTCTGTGTGGGTCCTAATGCCCTTTTGGATGAGACGTTAAACTAAGGTCCTGACTCTGTGGTCGTTAAAAACTAAATTCAACAAAAATAAAAATAAATGACAAAAATTAGAGCAACAGTATGTAAGGTTCACTACTACATACACGTTTTTAAATCCCTCAGCAGTTCTTCTTAAAAACTTTTTTAGCATGCCTGCTTTTCAGGAGACAGACAGGCCTGTTTTTGACTGATAATGCTTCACAGACGACTTTTGGTTAATAAAGCATCTCTACTGATGTTGTATTCCAGTGATGATGTATTAAAATGAATTGCATACATGATCTTTTGAAAATAAATTAAACTTAAGGGCAAAGTCACGTGCATCTCTTTTGATGATGAAGTCATGTCTCAGTTCATATGTGAATTAAAGAAACCATTTTTTAAATCCATTCAGCCTATTTCTTGTTCTGGGGGGATCTTTATTAGCTTAGCTTAGCATAATTCACTGAATAGGATTTGACCATTAACATTTCCTGCAATAATTAAATACAAAAAAAAGAAGAGTTTTGATAATTTTTCTATTTAAAGCGAGAGGCCTCGGTAGTTACATTGTGGAATAAGACCAAGAGAAAATGAAAAGGTTCTATTTTGTTGGTCAATATAGCTAGGAACTATACTCTCATTCTGGCGAAATTGTCAGCTGAAAGAAATCGCCTGATTCTGAATGCTTTCAAAAATGGTTCAACTTAACTGTTTAACGGAAAACTTTATGTTTTACTAGAAGACTTGTAAAAAGGCCTTTTTCAAAAATATAGTGTTCCTTTAAGAATCATAAAATAACAGCCACTCAATCACAGCTGGTCTCAAAAAAAATTTGACGTAACTAATGACGTTTGAGGTTACAAATTAAAAAGCAAAAAAAGTGACTGCACCTGCCGAAGTAGCTCAGCAGGTGACAGAACTCTGAGGTTGTACTAAGGTTACCATTTTCACGAGTGTAGTTCGGTTATCCTCTTGCAAATGCCAGTATAATTGGAGTATTCTGTTCTTTTTGAAGTAGATTTGTCATTATGCACACTTGGCTAACAAACATTGATGAAATTCATTCATTTTAGGTAAGAAAATTTGGTACTGAATGCCAAAACATTTTTTGATTCTTCATTTTGTAATTGAAACAAGGCAATTGAAGTATTAATCTTAACACCCAGCCCTAGCAGTCATCAGTCAAATTTGAACAACATTAATTCAGTTTTAATATATGTATATGCGCATACATGTTTGTGTGTATTTAAGGAAGGCCCTAAAATCTCTTTTCAAAGGCCTCACCTCTTGACCCTCTTCCTTGTCTTTCCGCAGACGATGTGCTAAGATCTCCACAACTTTCTGGAAGATGTTGGTCAGAATGCGGATAGTGAGGGACAGTTGATCTTCCTGTCCCTCAGCCTTTTGGGAAAGGCAGCCATGTGCAATCTCAGTAAGCAGAGCAAGCAAATGAGGGATGCACATGTATCCTTTCTCTAAAGTAAGAATAAAAATACATTAAAAAAGCATTGTTATATTGTTATAACATTTAGCATAACATTGTTATAACATTTTGTATAAAGGGGTCAAACATATTTTATATTAACAACACATAAATCTGTCAATCTTTTTTTAATCTGATAATACATAATACAATCTCTGGGCTCTGGATCAGCATGATGAAAACTACAGCACCCACCTGTCTGCAGTACTGAGGCAACATGCTGCAGTAAGTGGTCTCTGAAATCACTGTCTCCAACAGAAACCCGCAGCACATTCTTGCACACTGTTACACAGCTCTGACAATGATAGAAGAAGGGAAATAAATCATATACAAGCAAACCAAAACCATCTGCACAATCTATTGTAAGAATGTAAATCAATGGATTACTTTTAGAATTAGTCTTCATGTGCCTGATAACCTTTATATAATTATTTATTTACATTGTACTGTTTAAAAATCAAAGTATTTAGTTCATTGTACACTGAAAGAAATATCCATGTAGTCACTCTTCAAATATTCTGTTTTCTAACTGTGTCTTATCTTATTGTAAGTTGTCCCTGTACTAAACGCCTTGACATTCTTGAGCACTGGATAAAATTGTTCTGCCTAACTGAGCTGAATATTTGCACGTATTCATAGCCCATGTAACCCTGAGTATGAGGTATAAAAGCTGGGAATACCCAGACTTCTTTAGAAGAGAGCAATAAACTGTTGGATTCACATCTCTCAGTTGTTGTTGCCTTCCTGGAGCTCCAGCTTACTGAGGAAACACACAGACGATCTTCAATTTATCCCAACAACTTGGTGACCCCCGACGTGATGAAGCTGATCAGGTAAGACATGAATTTGGCTTTGACTACCTGATTAGTTTCATCACTGAACTGAGTGTTCAGGAAGCTGGCAAGACATGAATTTGGTTTTGACTGCCTGATAAGCTTCATTACTGAACTGAGTAATCCTTGGCTGGGATTTTCCCTGAAAAGCCAAGAAGAGCGCGCTATACAAAAGTAGAACGATCATTCTGTGTGTTTTCTAGTAAGTATTTACTTAGGAGTCTTAAATTTGAGCATGTTTAAAAAATAAATCCGACCTCACGTTGAGTCAATTGCATTAACACACTGTCTCCGAAATGTTTGTCAGATTTTTTTTGCATCCATAGAAAGTCTTTTGAGAGGTTATGAGCCAAAATACAGGGGGAAAACCATACAAAACCTTCAAACTTTAGTGAGCAAAGACCTTTAATCCTGTCTTAGATATATATTTATAAGTTTTTAGCATATTTTGTCAACCTATTGCTTTTTTGTTCGACAAGATTTTGTTGAGTAAACCTCTGGGAATTTAGTTGAAGCCAGTGGATCTTTTTTTATTTATACTGCATAATGGTTAAAACTGCTAAAAACAATTATTTTACTCAAACATATAATCACAATTACTAATCAAATTTGTTGACATTTTCAGAAATCTAATCAGAATTACTGAACTTTCATGTAAGCACCAGTCAACTAAATGTCAAGAACACAGATCGCCTTTATTACTTTATTTTTAGAAGCATTTGACATTGGAGATTGTTAAATTTACATGTTAGGCATTGTTATCAGATCATCTATGCTTTGTGTCTCAGTCCAGAGATTGCGACTTTATGATTGAAAGATAAAATAAAACAAAACATCTTCTGTGACATCTGGCAACTGTTTTTTCAAAAACATTTTTCATCAGTGTCACACCAATCTCCAGAAGTCATTTTACCAGCTTAATATGTGTTCTTTTGACAGCTATATTACATTACATATGGCGTTCATCCATGACAAACTACAAAAAACAATTAAAAATGAACAAACAAATAAACAAATAAATAAAACAAAACTAGTTTTGACAATAATCAAACCACTCACCTCTACAATCTTTGTGCTTAAGGACAGTTGTTGATCACTGCTGGAGTTGACCAAGAAAGGAAGGACTCGCTTCTCAACCCAGGACACCGAATGCTCTAGAGATTTGAGGAACTCCCGCTCCTCTGGAAACTGCAGAATTCAAAAGAAAGGCAAAATCAGGGTTCCCACTTTAAAACAAATATTAAATTCTGCTGATTTTAAAGTAAAATCAAGCAAGTAACGCAGCATTTTGGGAAGCTTGTAATTTTTTAAATTGGTGCAGACATCCTTTGGCCACCAAAGACACCGTTATAATTTCTTCTGTACCATCGGCATTGTTTTATAATAATAAACATTATATTCACCTATAGAAAGTATAGCACACCATATAAGTACTTTGAGTTGTCAGATCTGGTTTAGAAGTGTCATGTGACTTTATCCCAAAGCCCATTTGAAAAAAACTACATTCATTGTATCAATCCCTAAAATTACAATTTTAACATGATTTTTCCAGTGTGGTTGTCGTTTTGAACTGTTATTTTCATCATTTAGACCAATGGTCTCAAACTCAATTCCTGTAGGGCCACAGCTCTGCAGAGTTTAGCTCCAACCATCTCCAACTCACACCTGCTTAATAGTCTCTAGCAGTCTGGAACACCTTGATTAGTTGGATCAGTTGTGTTTAATTGACAGTGGAGCAAAGCTGTGCAGAGCTGCAGCCCTCCAGGAATCAAGGAACCAAGTTGGACACCCATGATTTAGAATTATGCATCAAATGTGATGTAGGCTTTATTTGGTTGGTAGTAAACAACTTTGGTTCTCTCAGTGTTCACTTTAAAAAAATTACAGAAACAAATGGTTCTTAAGGTCAAAAAAGTAATGAAAAAACTGTATAAAAAACTAAAAAGTGTATATTTGTATATATTCTCATGTACATTTTGATAAGAAACGCTGCAAATATTGCAGTAAATATTTATAGAATTAATTATTTGGCAATGATTTTTTTGTCATAATCATCTAAAATAAAATGCATGTACACACACACACATACATATATATATATATATATATATATATATATATATATATATATATATATATATATATATATATATATATATATAAATAAATGCTGCAGGATAGGAGTTTCACTTGTTCAGTCTAAAAGAAACTTACAGCGCGCAGTCAAGCACTGCTTGATCAGTATTTAACAAAATCTGAGTCATGTCCAATAAAACCCAGCCTCGAAAAGATGGGCCTACATTAACTTCTGAAATTAATTTGTCGTGTCACTTCAGTGCTAAGAAATTGATACTTAATGCACACATAGGCAACTTATATTCTTAAAGCACCTTTCACATACTAAGGATATAAATTGTGTGAGTGTGTTCAGTGACAAGGGCTCAAAGAGTGCATGCAACAGTGTTATGGCTGTACACTCACTTTGTGTTGAAGATGTATACAGAGTCTGCCATGGAAGATAAAAGCTCTCAGTGCTGTCTCAATGGCTGCCACGCTGACCTCTGATCCGCTCAAAGAGGAGAACAGCAGCGACTGGACACATTCACAAAAGAGCAAAGACAATAGATCCACATTTCATGTCACACTTCGGATTCAGTTTAGGACCATGTATAGAAAGTTTAAAAAAACATGGTTACACCAGGTCAACGTTAAGACTTTAAGGCTTTTCATTTTTGTTTAAAAAAAAAATGAAAACTTTTTAAGACCCTACAAAAACCCTGAAAAAAACATAATTTTTTTCAAAGATAGAGGCTGAAAAACATGTAATATAATATTTGAAGTCTGACCTTGGTAAACAAAACATCCTTGAATATAACAATTCTGTGAGCTTTCAGAGATATAAGTAGATAATAAGGACAAAAACATCACGACATTTAGCCATGATTCAGCTCTGTGCAGCACTATTTTCAAAGCAAGGCCACAGAAAACCTGCAATTACCTTATTGACTTTGTATCTAATGACAGTAATAACACGACACACAATAAAAGAGTAGGCTTTCACCAATTCTCTCTAATAATATTCTCAACCTTCAAGTTTGCTGTACCTTCCATTTGTTGAGGGCTTTATGAAGTGGTCTCATCTGATCCAGGGGCAGTGTGAGCAGACATTCTCGTGTTTTAGGTCTCAAGAGCATGTAATCCAGATAGTCTAGGCCTAGATCTGGCTTTGACTCCTCCAGGACATCAAAATGCACTTTGCCAGTTGATTCTTCATCACCCTGCTAATGAAAGAATGAAGACACTATAATGAAAAGCTAGGTTCTGAAACTTGGTGCCATACCAATGTAACAAGTAAGTATTTGGATCAAATTAAAATGCAGATTTTGATGCATGTGATGTATGATTTTAATAATTAAAAATAACTTTAATAACTAAATTAAACAACTTTAATAATTAAAAATAATTTTTAATCCATCATAATTTGTGAAAAAGCACAGACACAGCAAGTTAAGGAATGAGTATTCTTATTACAAGCTACAGACTAGTATATGATTAGTTATTGAGACTGCAATGTCAAGCTTATAACTGTTCTGTCTAACTGTAATATTTCTAGAGACATCACTGGGCCCACATGGAATCTGTGCATGCAGAAATCCGCAGATTTTTAGCCAATCAATTCTATTTATTTACTTATGTAAATGTATATTTATTTAGTTGTTAAATTATTTTCAGTAATAGTATTGACTAATATGAAAATGTTCATAAGAGTTATTCAAAATACAGTTTGTAAAATAATGCTTTCTGTCTTTTAGTAGATAAATTATATGAGAGACTTGCTTTGTTAACCAAATAAGTGGATCTAATTTGATTTGCATTTTAAACACTAAATAAATGTTAAAAAGTTTTTTTTTTATTTCATATAATACATTTTTGTTACGATACTCCCAAAATCATTCTGCTCAAATCCACAGATTTTTTTTTTTTTTTTTTACAATTTTCTGCGCAGAAATAGTGAAAAAATGTCTGCAGATTCTGTCTGGCCCTAGACATCACTTATTGTGTATTCTAGGGCTGCACAATATTGAAATAAATCTGGCATTGCGATGTTTTTTATTCTGCAATATATATTGCGATGTGAATACAATTTCACCAGATGAGTTGAATACCTATTTGGACAGAATTTATAATTTTAGATTTAACAATCTACAAGCAAAGAAAAATTCTATAAAGAAAAATATACAAATTAAATAAACAACATTTTGCTGTTTTCCAAGGAGTCAAACTGTATTCAGATATAGTAATTGAATAATCAAAGTTAAAAAAAATGATCTCATAGTTTTCGTTTTAGAAACAATTCAATAAAATTAATTATTATTAATTCGTCAAAGTTACAAACGGTACAATTTCTTATGCCAGAATGCTTTTACAATCCTCACAAAGTCACATAATCCAGACTGAACTTTGCATATCCTCACAATAAGCCTAGTATACTCAATAGTTTTTAATGGTCTAACGATGACATATCAGAACATGAAGTAAGACGGCAGGCAGAGGTGTTGTATTTTGCCAAATAAAGTCATGTTTCTGCATAAGTAGTTTTGCTGTGAATAGTACTCTTATTTACTGTTCAATTATTGTAGATGGCCAAGATGGCTATGATTTATTGTGAAGTAAATTTGCTTTGCATTTTCTTATGTCTTTACGTTGTCTAAAACTTTCAATATATTTTTCAATTTCAATAATACAATTTAAAATGTCAATTTAGGCACTGATGCCATAAATAAATGCTTTAAGTTGATTAAAACCTGTTTAAGTTTATTTTTTTTGTTTGATTTTTTTCTTCTGAGGATTTTTTAAGGAATGCTGGTTGCTAGTATCCATTGAACTCTACAGTAAAAAATCTAATATAAAAGTCGGGTCTCAGCAACCAGCACTCTTCAAAATATCTTCTGTGTTCAACAAATGAGGGAAAGTCAAACATGTTCGAAAATAGGTGATTGTCTTCAGAAACATTTTTTGTTGTGCTAGTTGAAAGAGTGACAGCGGTAAAAACAAATGCTGAATCAAAACTTTTTAAAATCCTGAATCAGTATTGGATTTACTCTTGCATGCTGGAGAAAGGATGACACCATGGCATGGCTTTGGACGGCAGGAGATGGATTGTGTTTCAATGATTTCATGGCAAACTGATAGCATTTAGGCAGATCACCTACTGTACCTTTAAAATAATGGGGAGGATTATATTTTTTAATTGAACTATCCCTTTAAAAACACAAAAACAATACCCAGCCTTAATAATGACCCCCACACATAGACACTTTCCAGCACATGTACCTCTTTCACAGGTGCGGCCTCAGTGAGCCAGTTCTCGATAAGCTCCACTATATGGCTGATCTGCCCCCAGCTACAGAGACATTCCAACGTCTGACTGTACGTTGTCACAGCAGCACCCGCTTTCAAGCTCCTCAAGTGAGACATCACTTTACTCCTGCAGAGAAGGACACAGTCATGCTGTACACCCAGACCTTTCTACAGATCGCTCTGATGCTTTGAAAGAACACGCTCAATCCCACCAGCATTAAAAGGATGCTTTTGGGATCAAATGGAAATTAGAATTGGCAATTCGCTTTTGAGCCAACCTGCTGTTCTGGGGAGACGACTGACTGAAGCACGTGGACTGTGCTAGATAATCATCAGAAAAACATATATTTAGAAGTGCTGTTCTTTTTAAAACTGTCCTTTGCTGGTACACTTGTTAATATTTTTTACTATTTAGACAATTCACCTTATGTCAAGAAAGAGTGTTTTCATTGTTGGCTGCATTATTCTTCTAAAATGGGGCATTTAGGGATTTTTTTAAGGGGAAGTTCCTATAGTGTAATAAGTGTACTAACCTCAGAGCTGGAAGAGCAGAGGCAGGAAGTAAAGATGCTAGAAGAATGAGAGGTGCTTTGCATCGCTCCTCCTGCGCACATGCACAAACACACACACAAATGCGTCATGTTGCACCCATGTTGCATCAGCTTTGAAGATGTGATTATAGTGTGCCATTTTGATCTTTAAATTGTCCTTTGGTTTCATCGCTTGAACGTGCCTCTTACCTGAAAGATTTTAAGGTATTGGGGCAGAGAAGATCCAAACTTTGCAGTGGTGTACTTAAAGGCCTCTTGATTAGCCATTAGAGATTTCTGAACACTCTTCCACAGAATGACGAGGATCTCCAGCAGGCTGGCCATGGAGGAGGTGTCCTGAACTGAGAGAACATCTTCCAGCAGCTAGTGTCAATAATAGCAAACATAGGCATTTTCATTTATATATATAAATATGTATTGTTTACAGTTTTACATTATTGCTCAACAGATTACATACATATATGTGTGTGCGCATTTACTACTACAGATTTTATGTTTTTTTTGTATTAGTTATTCATATATTCATACTTTCCAGTACATTAAGAAAATGCTAAAAATGTTGATGACGGACAGTTAAATAAGTAGTTTTTATCTTATATTAGCTTATTTAAAAAAAAAAGTTTTTTGTATTTTAAAAAACATTAAACAATGTTTTGTGCTCACCTTTAAATTTACTGAGGCCCTCTAGTGGCAACAGAGCTGTTTTAAAATGACTGTTCCAAGATATTGTGGAAAACAATCAGTCTGAATGCTGACGCGTTTCTGCTCTGTTTTAGAAATATTATCAGTAAGATAATATTGTAATATTAAATACTAATTACTATTCATACAGGTCACTTAAATTTAAATAATTAAACTGCTGTTGTGTAACCGTGTCGTTTTATAGATCAAAACAGCCAGAGATACAAATATACCTGAGATTGCAGAATGTTAAGTGTGTAGTTAAGTGTTAAGTATGTGTGAACATCAGGGCTAACATGAGCCTTACTGCACAAGTGAACAAGACCAGTTTGAAAATGGAACAGTGTAAGTATTCTAGTCAACAAAGTATATCAATCTATACTAGTTTTTGAATAATCCATTACAACCCGTACATATTATGCCTTTAATTTGATAAATCATTAAAACAGTAAAGACAATCATTTGAGCAGTCTGTTTAAAAAAGAATCCTGACAAATTTGAAAATGGTTTCCACAAAAATAGTGAAATTAATAACAGTGAAAAATGGTACT